ACTAACGTGCGAAATTCAAACGGCGAAAAAAAAACGGACGGCTGGCTCAGCGAAAATTGGCGAAATTGGCGGCGAGCAGCATCAGCACGGGGGCCCGCGTGAAAGTGCTGCCGCCTCGCTCATTCGGGACCGGCGCGCCCGCCCTGCTCCGCCCGGCCCACCTCGCCTCGCCTCGCCCCACCCTCCCCCGCCCCACCCCGCCTCATGCCAGGCTCTCTGTAGAATTAGTCGGAAAGACGTCCTGCGAGGGGAGAGGCGCAGGAGAGGTCTTTATGGGCGAAGGCGGCGCAGGCGGGGGCGGGGACAGTTGGCGCCGGCGCCACCGGCCCGTTAGTGGGCGGGCCCGGCGCAGCCCGGCGCCCTTGGGCAGCGCGGCGTGGCTCTGCGCGGCGCGGGGCGGGGCGACACTCCCAAGTTCAAAGTCACGGCTGAACGCAGCAGCAGAGGCTGCAGGCAGCAGCAGCGCCGGCGGCGGTGCCGGCCGGCCCGACTGCCAGCTGAGCCCGAGAGCAAGGGGGATGAAGGGAGGGAGGGGACCGAGTGTGACGTCACCAAACGCGTCGGGAGCAAACTGCGCCGTCCTGTCCTATCACAAAAGTTAATGTGATTTTAGACCTCACCGAGTCACAAACAAACGTACAGTCACTACATCAGCGCAGCCCTCCGCGGCACCTCGGCGTTATCTAGGCCCTACGATCGACAGCTCCAATTATTCCTAAAGTGCAGTGGGCGGGCGGCTGCCCCGCGCGCGCAAACACACACTCGCTCGCATGCGCGCATATACACACGCAGGTCACGCTAGCGCCTCGTTACCAGAGGCTCACGGGGAGGGAGAGAGAGCCTCGGTACGTGTGATTTGTTTGCTATCCTCGTCAGGTGCGCGGCGCGAGCGGTGCGCGCTTCTCCCTCCCCCGCCGACCCTGACCTTGTCGCGCGTTGGGGCGGGCCGGGCGGCTTCACCGTGCGTGGCTGTGGTCAGAGACAAGGGAGTCGTGATTATTTTAAATTGTTTTAGCCACTCCGCGTCTCGCTCGTCCTGCTATCTCTTATTGGCAGTTATCGGCCGGATGCGGATACGGGCTGAGGGAGGACAATGCCGCTGGCCGCTAGCCGCTAGCCGCTGTTCTTTTGTGTCGTCCATATGGGACTACTACATGTCCTCCGGTGTGGCCGCGCAGCAGATGACAGATAACTATCGGTCCTACCGGTGTTCACCCACTCCCC